TGATTTTGGTATCTCCCCTGCCACCAAAACTTCTTGCAAAAACATCTGAATGTGTTATTCTTATGGAAGTACTATACCAAAGACCTAATTAGGAGAATTTGAGGGTTAGATTTTCAGACTCATAGTGTTGGAAGTGCTCAGACCGGTTGTGTTTCAGAGCCACTATTGGTATTAATCCCTGAAGTATTTCCAATAGGGATGTTAGCTCAGGGTCCCTAAGCATGCAGATGTTGGGAAATAGGTGTTGGTTTAGTTTGAGGACTCCACGAGGTTCTTGGTAGGTCCTCCTGCCTCTACTGGGGGATACATGAATGGAAGCACTTAAGCAATTGCACTGAAATGGAGCTGTGCAAATCTTCCCTAGTGAACCCAAGCGACCACCCGTACCCTGGATTTCAGCAGTGCCACAAATCCCTGGTTGTGAGTGAAGACCTGATGGTTTTGGCTTGACACCAGCTGAAACTCCGAAGGCAGATTAATTTTTTTTCTCTGAGCCTTCAGATTAATTTAATCTCAAAGCAAAACATGTGAAGTTGAGGTGAATGTGAACTGCAATGTAAAGAAAAGGAGGTTTATGCCAGCCCAAATACTGCAGGGCTGCGCTTCAGATCCAGGTTCTGTTTTGCAGTTGCTGGACAAAGGTTAATGTGATATCATCTAAATCCAGGCAGCTGAGCAGAATCTGATGAAAGCAATTCATTTGACAAATTGTTTTTGTCTCAAACTTGAACCTGAACCTCAGTCATTATTTTGTTGCTGCTGTTAAAGCCGTGCTGCCCTTATTTAGTGGGAGGACTGCTGACATTTGCTGGGACCTGCAAGAGCAGCATCAGGCTGTAGCTGCTCCTGCCCTCTCCCCATCCCATGTGCACTGGATCATCCTTCATGGGGAACTGTTCTGCAGACTTGTTTGGAGTCCTGTTCAGATCAGGCTTAAGCCTTCAGTCCTCCTTCACAGAATCATTGAATCATTAAATTTGGAAAAGACCTCCACGAAAGTCCAACCTGCAATGAAATACCACCGTACACACTAAACCATATTGTGAAGTGCCATGTCTTCTTGTTTTTTTAACACTTCTGGGGATGGTGACTCCACCACTCCACCACTTCCCTGGGGAAGCTTCCTGAAGCTGCCTTCCCGTTGTTGTTGCTTGACAAGTGGCTCTCCCTGTCAATCTGATCTTCTCCTCATTGGTGTGCTACCTCTCCCTTGCATGGGTTGAAAAGGAAAAAATTGAGAGGAATGATTTTGCTCACCCTCCCTTGCACAGTGCTGGTGGCACTTAGGAGCTTCATGTGGGGCAGCAAAGGCAGCTGGAGAAGTGGTGGGTGTGCTGGGGAGGCAGGACACTTGTGCAGAGAGATACGTAAAGGGCTGTAACTTCCTGGCTGACCGCTCGTACTATGGAATTGCCCGTTTCTATTTTTAGGTGTTGTATTGTCTGTCATTTGGGGTGTTTGAAGGAGCTACTCTGAGTCATTATTGACTGTGACTTTGGTAAAACCAGGGTGAGATTAAGCACTGTCTGGCTGCAAACTGAAATCAAACTGAAAAGTTCATAAGCTTAAGATGAAGAATAAGTAGTTTGGGATTTTTATGTAAGCTCTCTCACTGACTTTATCTATGAATTTTAGGCAAGGAGGTCTGGCTTTCTCTCTATTTTAAGATAGAGAAGGGTGCACCCATATTAACCCTTTCATTAGAGGTGGGCTTTGGAGGCAAATCTGGTTGTCCCCAGATTTCACTCCATCCCAGTAATGCACTCCATTGCTACAGCCACTCACAAGATCTTTATGGAATCAGACCAGAGTTAGCCTGCAGTAAAACCCATGAAAATAAGGTATTGTGGCTGTAGGTACCACTGTGCCTCTGTCAGTGTGCAGTGTCTACTGGTGTAACCCCTGATTCAAAGAAATCCTTAAACAATATATATAAAGTGCACTTTTATTATGGCCCGGGAGATGCAGGGGGGTTTCACCCCCCCGTGCATGTCCGCTGAGAAAAGAAACACAACGGCTTTTTATACAGTGAGTTTCAAAACTTATCTATCATATACACTCTTTACGAAGCCTGCCTTATCTAAATAGACATTTGGTTGCCTAACTCCTATTCTTATTATTATAGAGTAGTTACATAAAGTTTTATCATTTCAAACAGCTTGGGTTCCCCCCACCCCTCTTCTGTCTCCCTTGCAATGCTATGTGCTAAGTCTTTCCCGCTTTCCCTGACAGTCCCGTTTGTTTAGGTAAGCTAGCTTTATCTTAATTGCCCACAGTTTGGGCAGCAACCTTCTTTCAGGCAGTTACAATTTTGCAGTCACACTAACATAGCTAAATTTTTGTTTTATTTTGTCTTGTCTTTATTTCACCTCAGCCAATTACACTGTGGGGACACGGCTGCGACACAGAACTGCTGCTCAGCTCCCTCGTTGTGCACAGGTTGCTACTTGGGTTGCCGTGCAGAGCCACTTCAGTGCCGATGCTGCCTTGTACTTAATGACCTGCTTGGTGCTCAATTTAAGCTGAAATCTGAGAAACCTGAAGTGAGATTGTCAGAGTAACTTTTCTCCCACTTCTCTCACTAGCAGGGATTTGTCCTTTAAGTGCTCTCAGATCTGAGGGCCTCCAGTGCCCTTTCAATACCAATAGTCTTTTAAGTGCTCTCATACACAGGTCTCCTCTGAATTGGAGATAACTTTGAGACAAAAGCATATTGTTTGTGTCCTGCTGGTGGAGAAATGTTTGCAACGAATTGGGATTCTTGGCTAAAAGCTGCTGCAATTTTGCAAATTCTGTCATAACATTTTAGTTGTGCATTTTAATCAAGCTCAGCAAATCAGTTCAGTCTCCCTGACCCTGCAAAGTATCCTGCTTTAGGTTTGCCTTTGAATCCATTCTGCTTTTTAATGCATGTTTTCCTATGAAGCTTTGCTTGCTTTTTAATTTTGGGATTTAGATCAGAAAGAGAGACTAAATAATGTGAGACTTTTAATAATTATTCTTTTCTGACAGAAAGCACATATGAGTGCACAAGATTTTTGTGCATACAGATGCATACTTGAACTAGTGACTTGCCTGTCTGTGGACGTTCCAGGACACACCTGCTGCATTTCATAATGGGTTTATTAATGAAGGATTAAGTGGGAACTGAAATAATGCTTTTTTGGGGACAGGAAAAAGTGGGTGTATATATCTAGTCTAATAGGTAGGGAGGGAGTTGTAAAAGGAACTGTTCCTTATGTCATCAGTTTACCCTGGCTAAGGAAAGATTTGTAAATATAAAACACTCCCTAGATAATTTTACACTAAATTACCTGGGATTTTTTTTCCTGCTTCTTGCTCAGACCAGATTTCCAGAGAAGGTGTGAGTTGCAGGATTTCACTTGGAAATTTTAATTTTGGAAAGTACTGGAAAACTGCAATGAGGTCCCCTCTGAGTCTTGTGTTCCCCAGGGAGAAGAGACCTGACTTCTTAAGTCCTTCCTCATAGGGCAGGTTTTCCAGCCCTTTGATCATTGTGGTGACCCTCTTTTGGACCCTCTCCAGTCTGTCTGGATCTTCTAGGACCTTGGGGTCTAGAACTAGACACGATATTGTCCTAGACATCATTAATTTGGAATTGACTTACACACCCGAGCATAGTGATTTATATCTTTCCTGAAATATTTATGCAGATGGAGGAGTTCACTTTTGAGCTATTTCCTCTTTTGCTAAGATTATCACAAATCTACTCTACAGTTTTCCGGTTTTCATCAGATTATTAGTTGGAAGTATGTCTGAAAAGTAATACACAGTTGCAGAAAGCTATGAACTTCAGGGAAAAATAATGTTGGGTTTTTTTTTCAAGTATTAGTTTTTAGAAATGAAAAGTAGCTGTAAAACTTTAAAAAATGCTAAAAAAATTTAAACTTCCATTAATGACTTCATGGTTTTGAATAAAATCTCCTCTTTCTCAGAGGAGAACAGCTATATCAAGCATTCTAGTAGTCACTAATAATTGATGTTTTTCTGCTTATGCAACCACTGGAAATGGTGCCAGTCTCTTTAGGATTCCCTTTAGAATATATGAAAATGTATATAATAACATGAAAATATACTCTAATGGCATAATTATGCAATGTGTGTTTTAAATACATCTATTACATATAAAAGCCAGTATTATTTATATTACATAATAAAAACCTTTCTGCTGCCATGCAGGCTATGGAAAGATGGGATATTCTGGACCTTTAGTCCTTTTCATCATTCTGTATTTTAGGATATTAATTGCTGGGTGTGCTGTGATATAGAACTTTTGCTCAATATAACCTTCAACCAGCTCACCAGCTCTCAAATTTCTACTCAAGCCGAATAGTAAGTATTTTTGGGAAATGAATGTGTAAGAGGATATGCAGTTTCAGCAAGGAAACTAAGAGGTATAATATTCAGTCTCTCTCTATATATATCTATCATACTGGGGTGACTCAAGTTGGACTCGAGTTAGAAGGCAGGCTCTAATACTGCTGGGAACATACACAAGGACATTCAGTAAGTGGAGAGGGATGCCAAATTTTTCCATCCATAAGTTATGTAACTGTGGGGTTTCAGGAAATCTGCTCTTTATGAATAAGGTTTAGTACTGAATTTTGATACACCTTAGATTTAATTTTCAAAGGAGCTTCACTGATTTCTGTATGTGTTGGAGACCAGTTTTTTATGCATTAAAATGTGTTGTACAGGATGGAGTTTCTTTTGCTGAATCTCGGTTTTATTTCTGTGCCTCTCTGACTGGAAACTTAAATTTTTTACTATCTATTTCTAAGATTTTCTGAAATAAAAGCAGCTTTTCTAGCCTTTCTGTAAGTAAAAAAGAGTCACCCCTGGTTCATCTGCTGGCTGGGAAGGTTGGCTTTTGGAGCATCTGAGAGTGGCAGGATCTCAGATGTGAGGGGTGGTCGTTAACGAAGGCGTGCCAAGGCTCTAATTAATACCACACTTTCTCTTTTGATTGCCTTCTCTAGGAAGCTGCTGGAAGAATGCTGTGACCCTGGGCAGCTCTTTGCCATGACAAAGCTGAACTCCCCGATGGGAAAGAACCTCTGGTTCGACGGGGAATTTTTATATTCTGTCACAATCGACAATGCAACTTACTCTCTCTTCCCACAGGTTAGTAATTGTTTTCATTGCCACTTTAAGTATTAATATACTAAATGGTAACATGGTACAAAGGAGCATGAATAGGCTAAAGGCTTGTCAAGAAATTGAGTCTTCATTTCTTGGTACAAAACAATCTCCTATCTTTTTTTTTTTTTTGACTTCCATGTTCTGAAAATTTTGTTGGTATGCATGTTAATATTTCCTTGGCTGCCTTTTGGGTGTGCAGATGTACACAAGGGCTGGTGAAATTGGGTCACCCATCTTGATTCTTAAAATGCTGAAATTCTGTCTATTTTAAGTAGGTGATTTTTGCATTTCAGTCAGGGATCACACTCACTGTGAGCCTGATCCCTCACCTAGGATTGCTTCAGTTGAGATCTGTATAGATCACATGCAACAGTTCTTTGTGTGAAGGTGTTACAAGTTAATGAAGTTTATTGGTGACAATCAATGTGAGCCCAACAACAGAAGCCAACAACTTGACTTTGTTGATTCTTGCTGGTTTTGAATGTTGGAAGTGGTTATTGTTGCTCAGCAAAGGTGTTTTGGGTACAGGGTTTTTGAGTGATGGCAGTTTGTGGTACTGATCTAGGCTGCTTCTTGTTTATTTAATTAATATATGAACTGATGTTAAATAATGAGGTTGTTATATTGAATTTTGTATGTAGACAGAGAGATGTTTTAAGCCAAATGTCTGGATGTATTAATTGATTTACATGTTACTTTAATTTCTCAAACTGAAGACATACAAATTTGTTAAGCCTCCCAATAAATGTTGAATCATTCACACTGGGCTTTTCATTTGTTGCTGTTTCAGTTAAACATGTAGCAGAGTTCTTACTTGTTAACATCATCCTGCCAGTAAAGCATGACAAAGTTGGTTTGGTTTGGTTTTGGTTTTTTTTAAGGTAGTTTCCAAGATCTCAAAAACCAAGTTATGACTTTGAATGAATTTCTTTTAATGGAGAAGTGTGAGTGGAAACTGTAGTGCAGGGCAGAGGAGATGGGAACAGCCACTTCCTATGTTGAGACATCATCCGGAGGAGCGGTTTTACAGCTGTGTCCTGTTCAGGCTGCCAGTCTCCTGTCTTGTCACTTGTGCCTGTTGCCGTGATCCAGACAATGGACCTTGGCTTCCCTCAGGCTGCTCCCAGCTGCTGTGTCCCTGCAAACTCAGCAAAAAAGTAGATGCTGAAAACTGCATGGCGTTTTTTTTTTCCTGCAGTACAGCTGGAAAGGGGCTGCCCATTCAGTGAATTTCTGGAGACTGGTAGAAGGTTTATGATGTGTTGCAGAGCAGTGGCTCTAAGTCTTTTTCTGTGATTACGAGTGTGATTTGTTGCTACAATATTGCATCATTTATTGAAGAGAACAGAAACCCTTGGCAGAGCTGTGAACTTGGTACCACACAAAGATACTGGCAACAGCTGCTTAAAATGTGTAAGTCCTTTCCAGGGTTTCAGAAAAACCCCACCTGGGCTGGCACAGGGAGGTCACTGTTCTGTGATGGATTTGGGATTTTAGATTTGATTTTCTTTGTATTAAAACCTAGCATTCTGCTTGGCTGCAGAAGTGTCCTACCTCCTCTCATAGAAAAGAGCAGAGTGCTGGATGGGCTCCTTCAGAGAGGTCATTGCTGGTTAGAGAGAAATCATGGTCTCAGGAACTCCAGTGGTTCTCAGGCTCCCAAGCCCCATCCTCAAAGTTCATCAGTTGGCTGGATCAAGAGTAAGGATCTGGAAAGTCCTGGAAAGATAAACTCCTGAAGGACAAGGTGAGCTGTGGAGTTGGGACTTCAGTGTCCCTTAGGCTTGCCAAGCGGTCTGTGAAGAGGATGGGTAGATGCTGCTGGTGGTGGTGGAAAAGGTGAATTTTTCTGATGTTCCAGCTGTGGAACAATGCTAGAAAGCAGCTCTGGGAGTGGTGCCAGAAATGCTGTCCCTTTAATGAATCGATGGGCAGTTTGTTTCTGACAAATGTCACTACTACTCCTTCTTTCCTTGCAAGTACCACTGCCTTTAATTTGATGTGTTATTCCTATGTATTTTGCCCAGAGGAATTTCGTAGGCCTTTATCAGATGAAATCCCAGTAGGCTTAAAAGCTTAGGAAGATTTATTTGCGGTAAATTTTTAAGTGAAGTATTTCTCTACTTCTCTCTTTGTTTCAAGAAAAATACTCACCTAAATTTTTCAGGCTCCCTCTTTGAAGAATGGTGTCTATTAGCTTGCTAGCAACTGGAAGGCGAGTTTTGTGAAGATGAATATTCCTTTCAAAAGTATCCAGAAGCTTAAAACCTCTCATAAAATACGGTTAATACTCTGAAATGCCCGGGGGATGTAATAGGAATGTAAAGGGCCGCAGATATGTTGATATAATCGAAAAAATATTTCCTCTGGAATAAATAAAACTGGCTCCATCCACATCAATCTGCTGGGCTTAAGCAATTTAGTGCTTGCAGAAGATTTCTCAGTCCTGAACCAGTTACTAACTTATACAATAATGTAACTCAAAACTGAATAGGAAACTTGCCATATTTCATGGCATAGAGTGAGCTGGCTCATGCATCAATGGGGCCTTTTACAGGAATAAATAAGTATGTCAGAACTTAATATGTAAAATGTCTCTTACTCTTGAATGGCAACAATACAAAATAGAATATTTTTTTTCTTCTGAGCAATCTATATTTAAAGTTCTTACAGCTGGGCCAACGTTTTCTGATAGAGTGCTTTTCCAGTAAAAATGCTGTTTCATGAAAATATAAATTTAATATCAGTTCATTGGTTTTTCAGTTTTTCTTTGAAGTGAAAAGGTTAGAAGGTTTTGGTGGTATTATAATATTTCATTGTACCATTTTTTAATGTAATATTTCAACTGTTAGGTTTTTTTTTAATCAAGTCCTTTGCTAGCCTTTTATTCCTCAGACCTTACATGATTATATTATTCCTCCTTTTATTTTTTCAAGTTTTTGAGAGGCCAAGGGAGAAAATTGCAAAAGAAAAAAGCTTTTATGTGGAAATAGTCATTCAGTGTTTCATTTCAGTTCATGAGAACAAAATTTGAAGTTGCAGAGTTTTGTGTGAACCCATAATTCCAGCTGCTGGAAGTAGCTCCTCTTAGTCTACCCCTCTCTATGTCATTTCCTCCCGATATCAAGAATTAAATTTTTTTGAAGCAGAAATGAAATGTTACGCAGACTGCACCATCTTTTCCATCCTGGAGAGAAACTGCTAGTGGCTCATTGTCAATGCCTAAAGGTCAGGAGAAGGTGCAACTCAGGATGTGGCTCATCAGAGAAGACAGACTAGCACGCAGTGAGGGTGCCCACCTACAGCCCATCTCCCAACACAGACTAAGCTGAGTTGCCTCAAGCTGTTGGATAATGGAGTGTCACTTCAATTAAAATCATATATTTCTTGACAGCAGCTTTGTTGTGTTGCTTGCTGTGATCTACAGCATTATTTCCCACTCTTAGGAGACAAGAAGCGTAGAGTCTGCAAATCACTGTAGTTTAATCTTAACAGCGAGAGGTTATTCCTATGGCCTACCTACCACTCCTCTAAACCTTTTAATTCAGACTTAGAGTTTCAATATTAGCCAGTAATTTTGGTATGTGTCTGGAGGCACTAGAGTTCAGAGATGCAGGTGACCCTACTACAGTCTTGGTTGGATAAACATCTGAGTAGCCAGGCTGCCACATCTCACGTTGGCCACTAAATGTCATGGGAACTCGTTGATGTGTTTCCCCTCCATTGTGGACCAACTATTATACAGAACAGAGAACTGTGTGTTGGGGAGTGTCCCTGATGGGACAGAGACATACAGCCTCCTTGCTCTCCAGTCTGGAAGTTTAGCCATGCAGCTCTGGTCCTGTTGTGTTGCATCGAGGCACGGCAGAAGGCATGACTAGCGTTTTCCACCCTTTGCCATCTGACTAGAATGGAAGAAACCAGGCTTCCATATATTCCTGCAGTAATTTTTAGATACTATGAGTAAGTGTGATGTAACCACAGGAGTAGCTGGGATGTAACTCAAAACCATGTGAGAGAAACGTGAGCTAACACTCATCTGCTTTTGAGTTACAGAATAGAACAAGCCTCAGTTTCAAATGGTTTTTTGGGGATATTTTTTCACTCCTTCTTGTCTTTTTCTTCCTCAGAGATTCAAAAGCAAATTTCAGACTATCTTTAGCATTACAGGGGAAAAAACCCTCACCCTAGTATTTAGTTGTAAATGCAAATAATTGATTTTTGTTGCTCGTTGGCTAAAGCCTATAGCAAGGAAGAACTGAGGTGAATTTTTGAGATCTCCTTTCCTCATCCCCCAAAGGGTTAAAAAATAGTTAAATCAAATGTAACTTTTCATTCTGCCGTGCGGAGTATTGATTTGGAGGGTAGAGGAGTTGAATACATTTCAAATGTTATACTTCAGCTTTTTAATTTGGCAAATTGAAAAATATTCAGTTTCACTGTATTTCACCTTAAGGAGTTAGACATGTTTGGCACCAATAAATTATGTAAAATTACAAAAATATGATTCCACCGCTGATCAAATCCCTTCTAAAGTTTCACCTGTAGTATGCTGTCAGCTAGAAGAGTGGCTACTTGCATTGAGCTTCTCATGAACAGTCATCAGAAATGGTGTTGGAGAAATCCAAAGGAAAAAACTGCAGGCCACAAACAAGTCTGGGAAAGGTGGCATCTGTTTCTGGATACCTTGTGATCAGGAGAAAGGTGATATTTTTCAAATTGCTTATATAATATAGATATTTATTTGAAGTTCAAATTCTTATCCTTAATATAGAGGCAGGGGAAAAGTTAGTTGCTCTAATTGCAGCTGTAAGATGGAGACATTCTCTGACATTTCCTGTGTTTCATGAATGGTGTATTGGGTAACAGTGAATTATTTTATGATCATGCTGTGAGATTTGTGGTTTTCATTCAGGGTGCCTGTTAGATTCTGGGAACTTGTTTTTCTTAGTTGCTCACAATATTCTTCATTTGGGCAGAGA